TTTTCCTATCTATATAAAGCATAAGCCGGGTCTTGGGTAACGGAGCCATGCGAGACCTGGCCGACTTGTGGGACCCGGGACCGTTGGCCACAAGCCCTTTGTTTTGGTCGCTTCGTGTTTGACTGATTCCCATTGGTCGTTCCCCCATGTCTCTGGAGATTCCCGATTTGGCCGTAGAGGGTTTTGTTTTGGTTTGTTGGTTTTTGCTTTTTGTGTGGTGTTTTTTGCTTTGGGTTTGTTGCTTTTGCTCGGCTTCCGATGCCACTCGATTCGAGGGACATGGGATGTTTCCCCATGTCTTTGGAGGTTCCTGATTTGCCCTCAGCAGGCTTGGATTTGATTGGTGGTTTTCGCTTTTGGTTAGCCCTTTTTTGCTTTTGGTCTGTCACTTTTTGCTCGACCTTTGCCCTTTTTTGCCTTTGGCTTGTCTATTTTTGCTCAGCCTTTCCCCTTTTTTGCTTCCAATTTGTCTTTTTTTGCTTGGCCTTTGCACTTTTTCGCTTTCGTTTTTTTTGTCGTTTTTTGGTTATGGTTTGTCGTTGTTGTTGTTGTTGTTGTTGTTGGTTTTTTTTTTTTTTTAAGTAATCGATATTCTTCTCTCAATCCATTTCATCTTTCTTGGTAGTACGCATCTATCTCATCCTCTCACTAGTCTATTTATAGTACAGGGAAACACCAACCAACCCGGATCTCTCCCCAGCCCACGGGGTAGGTTTGCACCACAGCTGTGGTGCGAGAGCAAGGCTGTACCAGTCCCTCATTACGGTGACGAGGGGTGAGCAGGCATTGCTGATGGGGGAAATCGCCTGCTAGCGCCGAGCAATGGCCAGTCACTGCACCTCCCCCTACGCCCCCCCAACCCCACATGTGACATGGCGGTGTCTAATGGCCAATATTGTCGCTGCATAGCAGCCAACAACATCATCCAAGGTCCTGCCAAAACTCGGTCTTTTCCCTGAAAAAAACAAACAAACGCTACACTATACTTTTCCCTCAAATTCTCTCACATTCACCTTTCACTACCTACCTACCACTACTCCTAAGGCTATACAGGGGAACCCTGCAAACATAGCTACCACACAATCAAGGGTTTGCATGTTGCCCACTGCCCTAACAGCGGTAGTCAGGGAGTAGGGTGGGGCTGCTTGTTGGCGCCCACCTGACTCAGAGACCAAGCTTTTTTTTTTCTTTCTTTCACAAAGACACTTGCTCCTTTCTATACGTGGGGAGCTGCACGTGTTGGGAAACGGGCCCAACGTCCCTCATAATTCCATGGAGACCGAGCATTTCGTCAGTAGCTGCACCCCACTTTTCATCTTCCCCCATCCCCATTGAGTAACAGCAGTGTCTAAGGGCAACTCTCTCCCACACATCACAACACAGCCCACTCACACCCCCACTCACACGTCTGTTGGGTAAAGACGCTACTAATACTGACCAGGGGATCAAGCTGTCTCAGCTGGTTCGCACCAAGCGGGTCCCTTCTTTGCTTCTGATTTGTTGTTTTCTGATCAGGTTCAGTACTTCTTTTTTTTTTTTTTTGAGTCCAAGGACCAGTACAGTTTTTACTTTTCCAGGACCACTGTAGTGCACACTCACACTAGGCCCTCAACATTGCAAAATCCCAAAATGACCGGCCAGATCTAGTCCTTCCTTTACAACGACTCGATCTGGCCGCTCATTTTGTGATTTTGCTTTTGCGAGTTCGGGGGCCTAGTGTGAGTATGCTCTACGTAGTTGCGGGATATCAGACATTCAAAATTCAAATACCAGTACATAGCCTGCCCATCTGGATGGAGGGAAGACACATGACGGTTACCGACCAGGCGACGAGCTGGAACCTGGGTGGCGCTAACCCCAGCCGACGAACACGAGGGCCGAAAGGACCCAAAGGGGTAAGGAAATCTTGGAGGCGTTTTAGGATCAATCTTAGGTCTGTCTACCCACAGTTGATAGGTGTACCATTTGGCCACACAGGCTTTGCTGTTTTCTTTTCTTTGTTGTAAGGACCTGCGAAAACATGAACTGAGAACACACAGCTGATTTCTGAGTTTTGCCACTAGAATGAATGCCTTGCTGAGATGCCCGCTTTCTGCTGAGTTTTCTAAGTCTGTGCATTTGCGTGCTTGCTGGTGTCTGCATGCCTTTCTGAGTGCTTGTCGGTAGGAGTGTGTGTGACCCGCTAGGGCACTTGTCTGTGTGGAGGCCCCGCAGGGCCGGTACTTACCTGTGGCCGTGACTTTGAGGGTTGCAGCAGGGAAAACACTTGAGTGGCGGGAGTAGGCCCGCGACACTTAGAGCAGCGGGGAAAAAGACTGAAGTAGTAGGTAGGCCGGTACCACTCAAATAGCGGTAGATGTGTCGGGGGCTGGAGGCCGAGCAGAAGAAGACAAAAAGTTGGCATTTTTAGAGGCCCAGTAGTTGTAGGCTAGGTCTAGGAGGGTACCAGTCCAAGTAGTCAGAGTCTAGGACCTGTATGGGCAATATCAGAGTCTGCAATGTTTCCCTCTGAAAGGGAGGAGGTACCGGTTGCTTGGCGGCCGTGCGGCCTGGAAGTCACTGCCCAAGAGGCAAGTTGGCCACTATATCTCCAGGAGGAGCAAAGAGCTCCTCCTCATTTGCTGCGTGCAAGTTTGGGCGACACGCTGCTGGAGCGCATGGTGTAGCAGCGCTGGTATGGAGCAGCGCTGCTGGGGAAGAAGGAGCGCCCAGCTCTCCACCTTGGATATGGCGGAGTAGCTCGGCCAGGAGGTGGAGGAAGAAGGGACTAGGAGAGGGGAGCGCCAGGGGTACTTACCTGGATATGGTGGACGCCATCTTCATCACCTTGGTGGGCGCTGCATCTGGAAGAACCCCGTTGGGGTACAGCTGCATCAAGAAGCTTCGAGGCAGAGTCAGTCAGGCATGGTGGCAGAGTGGAAGTGGCCATAGATGCTCTGCGTTGTCTTTTGCACGTCAGGGCAAGGCCCTAGTAGTCCTCCATAGCCTCGGCCTAGATGAAGAGGAAGTCGAAGGGCGGCCATGTCTATGGTGGACCTCAAGTTGTGCTCGCAGTAGAACTTGAAGAGGGATTTGGACATTGATTCTGGTTCTGCCATTCATTATTATTATTATTATTATTATTATTATTATTATTATTATTATTATTATTATTATTTATTGTTTGAATAAGAGGGGAGGAGAAAAGGAGGAGGAGTCTGGTTGGCGAGGAGAAGGGGGATTATCATTGGTTTCTTCTTCTTCTTCAGTCTTAAAAAGAAGACGAAGAAGAAGACTGAAGAAGAAGACTGAAGAAGAAGAAGAAGAAGACTGAAGAAGAAGAAGGAGGAGGAGGAGGAGGAGGAGGAGGAGGAGGAGGAGGAGAAACTTGAGAAAGAAGAGGAGGATTGCCAGAAAACATGACGCAACAGAGTATTCGGGCAAATAATTTATTCCAAAAAGGATGTCATCCTGAACCTGACACCGAAAAAAGTGACAGTCGTGGTGGCAATGACAGCTCTTCAGCATGAAGAAACATAGCCTCCATCATAACAACCATGTTTTTTTTTT